AAATTCACTATTTTTTTTTAAAGAATGGCCTAATGAGCCAATGTGGCTTGAATCGGCCCCAACCCATTTTCAAATGGGTTATGGAGGGCAAGTTATATAGGGTTAATGAATTAGGCTACCATAACCCAGCTTGCCTAATTTAGTGGGTTAAACAGACCAACTTGATGAGTCAAACCCAAATTAACACTCCTAAACATCGTATAAAGATGCTTCATTATCCACGACTCAATTTTGCTTACCAATGATACTCTTCTTCTTAAACTCTTCTCCAGCTCAATAAATGTCCAACCTTTATTTCACATCAGCAGCAATTTAAAGTCCCTTGTCTTTACCCCTCCCCTCCCCTCCCCCGTATAGCTTGCTTGTTATATTCTTTAAAATGGTGGAGCCTTTGTGCTAAAAAAAGAGAGGATGTAGTGGTAAGATTATGTCAAGACAATCACTTGTACATTTTCTACATAAAGAAAATATATTCATAAAAATAAAATAAAATAAAGGTAAATTACTTGACAAATGATAGAATTAAAATATAAAACTATCTCAAAATTTTCAAGCCACATGTTCCTTACGTCTTGTTGTAACGCCCCAAATTTTGTAATATTAATTATTGTTATTTATATAAATCTAAATGCATATATATGCGTGTGTTGATTTATTAGATAATGATGTTTATGTTTATTAAGTATATGGATGTGTGTACTGTGTGTATGCATGACTAGATAGGGCTAAAATAGGCTAAGTGCCTAAGTGCAGACGTAATACTGGGCTGTTCTCGCTGTAGCAAGAGGGCCCTGGGAGGAAGGACTGAAACTGTCGCCTTCTCCCTGTAGCAAGAGACGTCTCGCTGTAGCGAGAGAGCGACAGTTTAGGGTAAATTTCTGGGTGCAGTCTCGCTGTAGCGAGATTCTACAAAAATCAGGGTACAATTTCATCTGATATTTTCGCTACAGCGTGAGGGCGTGTTGCTGCAGTGAGAGAGGACCTCGCTGCAGCAAGAATATCTTATTGTAGCTAGAGTTTCACGACTAGAAAAAGATTTAAAGGGGGTTAGGGCTCGGGAAGGGTTATTTCTCCCTCTCCCTTCGAAATCTCTTCGATCCTCTCATTCCCAAACCCTTTTCTACCAATTACATTGCCTCCAAAGTCGTTCGAGAGCTTGATTAAAGGTTGAATCCGTGTGGAGAACGCTTGGAGGTGAGTTTTAATGGTTAAGGTTTCGATTTTTCATCCCTTTCTCTATTTTCGTGGTTTCTCTGGATTCTCATGGAGTTTCTCCATGTGATTAGGACGAAATCCATGAGGGGGAGTACTTATTGGTAGATTTAGCATGTGGGTCTTCAATCCAAGGTAAGGGGAGACTCTACCCTATCTCAATGTATTATAATTCTTGTGTGTTTTGTTGATTAATGCAATGTGGCTGAGGTAGGAAGTAGAAATTGTGTGTTTGATGGAAATTGGTGTGCATTGTGATGTGTGCTGGAATAGTTAGGCCCCATGGGGGAAAATTGTGTGTGATGGAATGCCATTGATTGATGAATTAATGAAATGTATGTGAATGAGGTGTGTTAACGCCGTTATAATGTGTTGTGAATGGTTCAGGGATACACTAGGGGTGTGGGGATGAGGACGGTAGAAATACCTTGGGGAGGAGAGAGTGGTGGTGACACTGATTGTGGAACGGGTGCACCACTGGCCACACACTCTTTTCCTGACTAGACCTCTGACTATTACCTTTGATGAGCGACCTGTGACTGTCCACGTGGTATCCATGAGGCGGGGATAACCGGCGACCATTCATAGTGAAAATCTGTGATCACAGTGCCACAGTGAGTGTGGCTGGTGTACTTATGCACGAGTTTGTGTATTGTACTTATGGATGTGAAATGCTGCCTGTGATTGTATTTGCCTAATGTATTTGAAATGTGCTGGAGGTGAGACTCTATGTTGACTGTGTGTTTTGGGTAGTGTAGAGTACTCACCCTTACATTTATTTTTCAGGTAATAAAGGCGATCACACCGGACTTAGTGAAAGGGTAGATGGAACTGCTATAGGACTTAGGATATTATTTTGAAAACTGTTGTATTTGAATAAGTCCTGTAGCAACAATTTGATATAATTTGTGACTCATTTCTTTATTTGAAATGGTTGATGAAACTTGAATTAAAAATAGAAATTTTATTATTTCAAAATTTTTTGAAATTCCTTATTTATTGAAATTAAATTTAAGGTGTTACACTTGTAGCTACTAACTAGTTATTTGTATAATTTTCATTAAATTAATATCAATATTACAAATAAGAGTCTATTATATAGGAAGTGAATATTAGTGAAGCTATTCACCTTCACAATTCATCATATGTATTATAACACTCTTAATTTGTAAATCATTTTCTCATAATTCATAAAGGAAAATTTTAATTAAATTATTAATGGACTCTTTCTCAATCGCAATACAAGAAAACTTAGCAAAATTAAAAAATAAAACTTTTCATTTCTCGTCATTCAGTCCATAAAAAGTTTAATAATACTCTAAAAATAAAATTTGAATGGCAATAGTTAATTAACATATTTAGTATTACTTAAATACACAAATTTAATATTTACAAGTAATAATTAAAATACATTAGAACTTAAATAAAGTAATTATAGAATTAAAATATATCAAGAGTCATAATCTAGATCAATTTTCATCAAACCACCCCTTTAGTTCTTCCATTTTTTCTTGCGTCAGGTCTTCATTATAATGGTCTCCACTATCTGCTGTAGTTATCTGTTCTTGAGTAAATCTAGCTGGTCTTTCTAGATGATCAAAGTCATGGAAGGAATATACATAGTTCATCACGACTGGTGTTCTTACAGTTCCTCTCACACATGCACATACACAGACATAAGTTGTGATGGATCCTACTACTACTAATAAGGTAATAAAAAAGAATATCATATTCTATCATGATCTCTATAGTAAATACCTCATCAAATCCATTCTCATTGTCTATAATAAATTTATACTGACAAACTTTATGTCATTTTCTAAATTTATTATTTAATCTACTTTTTAAACTCTATTTAGTCAACCTAATTGGTCTTTAAGGAGTGGTCATTTTTATTTCCTGAAAATATAAGTAAGGATGAATCTTTTCTTTACCACTAAATAATGCAAAAAATAATCAATTTAGAAATTTCACAACAAACAAAACACTAACAAAATACATCAACAATGCCATAACACATGTACTATAATCGCACAATGCAATATGTCATTCTCTTCTATACACAATTTTTCGTGCACTGTGATCACAGTCTTTCAGCACTTTATAATATCTCTTGGGCCCTTAATTCTACCAATCGTGCCTTTTGCATCCCATGAGGTCTTATATATGTATGGATAGTCGTCGGTTAGTCGTTGCAATACAAATATAATGTATGCAATACTCAGCCCTTTAACAAAACTACAATAAGAAGTTTAGTCGAGAAATGAGTGTGAAGCTTTCGCTTTCATTAATTTATATCTTGGTTGTATGCCCTAACCAAGATCGAATCCAAGAATTGAATCCACAATTGGCTAGAGAGTTTGATATTAAGGACTTGAAACCATCAAACAAGATTTTAAGAGATGCAAATTCATCAAGATGTAAAGGATGAGAAGATTTAACTTTCTCAAAAGAACTACCTAAAGAAAGTTTTGCAACACCTCAATATGCAAGACTATAAGCCAACATCTACCCATTTTTCTTGTATACATCAACAGTGAAAAGCGTAATATATACAATAATCTATATCTATTTACTTCTAATTTAATACTTTCATATAAGTTGTACTTATTTTTTTTATCCGTATCAAACATTAACTCTTCAATTCATATAAATATATGTCACCCTAGTCTATAGAGTGTAGACTTATTCTTATATTTTTTCAAAAAAATAAGGTGTATTAACAAAGTAATGATAATATAATAATAAGTAAAACTCTCTCCTTTTTAAGGAGCTATTGTATACTAACATAGTATTTAGTTTTATTAAATGGCGTAAATTAACATGTAAGAATTTCAGCTTTATAATTTCATCCACTAGTTACATGAAATGTGTGATTAAATTTCTAATTACAGTAGAGCTTGTGTTAAAAAATTTCAGCCTAACTTTGTCGTGAGATAGAGTGTTTAAATGAGATAAAATTTTGCCCCTTCCTTATTGTTAAAAGGTAAGGTCAAGCTAGAGAAACATAAAATATAAGAATGCAAAAGTCACATATTGTTCTTCTTTCCTCAGTCTCTAACCCCTTTCTTGAAAAAAAAAAAACTAGAATTTTGATAAACACTTTTGTCCTTATTTTAAAAATATCAAATAATTAACATACTAAAATAGTCTTTTACATATTTACAGTTCAATTCATCTCATTTATTTTATTTTTATTTCTATCGATCCAAATACTATGTTATTTCATTTCTATTTGATCCTAATTTCATATCTCTATTTCCCTTTTTTGTCTAATATAATTAGTGTATTCAATTCCGAAGTCCCATCCATAACGAATTTTCATGAGAATGAGCATCCTCCATATAGTTAATTATGGAAGTGCACTTTGAAAATATAAGAAAAATATATTCGTGATTTTATAAATACTGCAAAGCATATATATATATATATATATATATATATATATATATATATATATATATATATATATTCGAGCAAGGGCACATGTGGAATGTGTTCCCACTTATGGCCATAGAAAGACTTGGATTTGGGAAGATCTTACAAGAACTAGAACTGGGAACTAAAAAAGGTAATGATGCATTATCTTCATATTGTGCGCAAACAAATGCACAAGTTCAAACGGCGGATTATGGTAATCAAGGCATGACAAGGCACAAACTAGAACACAGGCCTAAATAAAATATCAATGCACCCACTTGAATTTTGGTACTCGTTTTGCATAAAATTTTAACTTTTAGAGAAGATAATGTGTTGATTAAGGCAGGGGACAATGGGTCTTTGGAGCTCTAAGGGCACTTGGTCTTGTTGGCATGTGTGGTCATGTCAGTATAGCAAGTCCCACAGAGCTCCCTGTTACCAGATGTACCAGGTGGGACACACTTGCACCTCACGCAGCACGTCCCGCAAGCCCTATTGCACAGGTTGGGCCTCGAATGAACACTGCACCTCGACTTGCACAGCCCACCACAGTCTATACAGAGGCATTACAAAATAACTTAATCAAAAGTAAACCAACAAAATAAATTAATAATTATAAAATTCCAAACTCATTTCCTATGAAATTAGTATAAATGTATCAACACCCTCTCACAAACTATTTGCTCTTGGCTTGAAAATTTGATGCCCATCTATAGATCCCAACAATCAATATTTTTTGTTAATGATTATATATTTACCTATGTCTTGCATTAGCCTTCTGATCCTGCCTCTCACAATCAGCTGGAGAGAATTCCAACATGAGCATTAAAATTCAAATTTAGAAAAGTATTATCAACATATTTTCTGATCTATTTTAATATATTGGTTAAAATTTATTAAAAACTATAAAAATATAAATAAAAATATTAAAATAGAAGACTAGAATAATTATTATACTTTTTAATAAATTTTACTCAATAATAAAAAATACTTAAAATAATATATTAATAACATTTTTTTTAATTACATACACTTCACGAAATAATAAAAAATAAAACAATAATAATTCTATATATATATATTCTTTAAGCATACTGGCTCATCAGGAAAGCGCGGTTCTTCTTCCACTATGTCTTCTTCTATCTTCAGATCAGATGAAACCTGCATGATAAAACCACCAAAAGATGAAAACTAAGAAGAAAATGGAAGCTGCTAAACCAACCATGCATAACAAAATTCATGAAACAATGGTTTTATTAAATGAATATCTATCTGCAAGACAACAGTAGTGTTAAATTGTTAATGTACCTTAACAAGGCACGTGAGGAGCAACATCCCCAATACAAGAAGCACGCGTGGCGCCATGGCTGCAGAGACTAATAACTTAAAGGGAACAAAAACAGGTTTAAAGTTCAAACTTCAAATCTCCACCAAGATCGCCCGGTGACTGAAACACTTCTGACTTCGCTATTCACACTTCAAACCTTACTTGCAGCATTATATAGACGAAAGTAAAAGCAGCATCGGGATGTGTTCAGTGAAATTACCAAAGGACCAAATATGCAGCATTAATATGTGAGAAGGTTCTTTTACCTTTTCCTGATAAATTATGGCACCAGGGTTTAGGATTTGCAACATGTAGATTCATTTGGGAATAATAATGATGATAAGGAATATAATTTATTATATTAAATTAACTAAATTGAATTTTAATTTTTATCTTCTTATATTTAAAATTAAATAGCTTAAATGACAAATTTTATAGCAGACTAATTTAATAGCTTATACAATTATGGTTATTTTATTTTAATATATATATATATATATATAAATTTAAAAATTTATATTTTTAATCTAAGTTTTTCATATATATATATATATGACAAGATATTTTTACTTTAATATAAATTTAAAATTTTTTATTTTTAATCTGAATTTTTTATTTAATTTATATTTAAAATGAAATACCAAATCGAGTTTAAAAATTTTTACATGTAAGAAAATTCTTTTTCTATATATATATATAATAAAGTTATTTTTAATAATAGTTTTATAAAAATTTTAAACTTAACTCTATAATTACTAATATATTTTATTAAAATGATAAAAATTTGATTAAATTAAATAATTTTAAAATATAATTTTATCGTATAGTCTCAAAAAATATTTTAATTATATAATAATAATTATAAATTTAAGAGATATATCCCTTTAAAAAAATTCTAAAATTTTAAAAAAATAAGAAATAATTTTTGTAATGTAAGAAGAGGCATTTACAAAAAATTTTAAAAATTATACAAGATAGTAAAGAAAATTTAATCTCTAAAATTTAAAATAAAATTAACAAAAATGTGACAAAAAAGTAAAATCTAGAGTGTGATTCACATACTATTTTCAGCCAATTTCAATCTTAAAATATATATATATATATATATATATATATATATATATAATTGTGAAACAAATTAGATGTTTCATTTCTTAATCAGTATACTTTTATTTATATTATAAAATAATAATAACTATAATTATTTTGTGAAAGGGAAAAAGATAATTTTATGCCTACATAGAGAAAGTATAAAATATAATACATAAGTGGAGTCACTAATTTTATAAAAAATTCATTAGTGCTCGATTTTTGTTTAAAATTACTTCTTTTAATATCTTTTTATATTTTTTTATTTCGTTTTATATAAAAAGAATAATAAAATGAACATCATTTTACAATGTTAAAATATCAAATTAAACTTTTTATAAAGTTAAAAACTAAAATAATTAATGTTTATGATTTTATAAAGCAAATTGGGTTTTTAGTAGAGCCATTAAAGAGAATTTGAGGCCAAATCAACTACGTTTACGGTCCGTTATGAGGGATTCAAGTTAAAAAAAGATTCCATAAATTACTTAATTGCACTTTTAATTCTAGTTTAGCTTATGCGCAATTTTGAAAGACTAATTTTAGTTTAATAAAAAATAATAAAAATATGACATAAATAAATAAATAAAATATAAATGATTTAATTATAAAATTTAAAGAGACTAAATATGAGGAATTATATTAGAAAAACTAAAATGGCATGTATTATAGAGTATCGAAACCAAAACCTTTAAAATTTTATAAAAGTAAAAGCAAATATAAAAGTTTACTTATTACATGAAAAGAGTGCCAGTGGTAAAATCCAAATACACTTGTACGTTTTTAACGCCAGAGTCCCCGTACTAGTAATTTTTGTTATTTTTACATAAAAAGTTAGAGTCGAATCTATAGTAGTTGAACTCGAATGAATTGAAGTGGATGGTAATGCAGCTTTAGCATTTAGTGGGGAGACATGCGTTACATGCTGTAAGGTACAGTGGGAGTAGGTTGAATGGGGTAAGCATGCCTTCATCATTATTTCCCTCTGGGGTCAGATGCATATACTAGTTAAGAATGTTAACCTTTTTTTTTCTTACAATCTTTTAAAGGTTAAATATATTTTTGGTTGTTTAAAATATATTACATTTTTATTTTTATTTTTTTAATTATTTTCCTTAGTTTTTATATTTTCAAAAGTTAATTTTAATTTTTTCACTGACAGTTTTATAAAATAATATATAACACAAAAAGTAATACACGATAACATAAATTAATCATATCATCATTTAATAAAGACTAAAAGAAAAATTTATTAATTTTTAAAAATGTAAAAAATCAAATAATAAAAAGTAATTTTGTAGCAAACAAAATTAAAATATAAATATTTTGAGTGACAAAAATATATTTAACTATTTTTTTTTGTCTCTCTAATGTCCTACTAACACTGTTCACCTCATTTTATACTTTTTTAAAATCATATTTTATATTTTAAATTAATTTAAAAAATAAAATAGCATTATCTTTCCAAATGGCTGGTAATTGAATTTTTTTTTTTTTTGGAGACACTTGAGCTCCTTTAAACCCTTTTGTCCCAATAATTATATTTTGAGATTCTTTAGGTGCACAAGTCTTTTCATCGGCATTTTATATACAGCAATGCAATAAAATAAAATATATTTGAATAGATAAAAAAAATTATCTTGTTACAAGAATGAATAAAAAATTTAAAAAATAACTAAATTATATACAAATAAAAAAAACTAAATATTTTAATATTTATTATTTTTTCAAAAGATATATATTTTTATATTATTTTAAAAATAATTTAACATTTAAATAAAATAAAATATATAAAAAAATCCAGCGATCCGTTTTCAACACCCCTTCTCTTTCTCCTTTAAAAAGTAAAATAAAATCATCCCAAATTAAAAAAAAAAAAAACTTATGACGTCAACTTTTAATGTTAAATTCCTTCGTCAATCTGTTAAACAAATCATTTTATAAAAAAAAATTCAAAGAATTTATAAATCTTTTATCTTATTTTTATAATTTATTTAATATAATTAATGAAAGGATTTTTTAATTTATTATAATAAATTTTATAATCAATATTATAAAAATAAATCATCTAATAAAAATTTATCAAACAAATCCTTAATCATACTATTGGCCTATTTAGAACACAACTAAAATCAATTTTGTTTTGCTTATTTTTTCTTAAAATCTATCCCTTTATCATTAAAATGGAATAAATTAATTCCAACATGTATGCACCAATAACATAAATGCAAAGAAATTTTCGCTAAAGTTAATTTGATATTTCAAATTTTTCAAGTAAAAAGTAAAATTTTAGTTTGTAGTATTTTTGAAGAATTGATCTAATTATGTAAATTTTAGACATAATTATAATTTTTATTTCATAAAATATAATATTTTAAAATTTTAGTTGTTTTTAACCCTTAAATATTTTTAAAATAATGTACTTTTAGTTATAGTCTAACAAGGGATAATTAATGTTTTTTAATATAAAATAAAAAATAGAAATTATAAAATATTTAAAATTAAAAACATGTTTAAATTAAAATTTTATATGGTTTAATTTATAAAAACTTAAGTTGTGGGCATTGATATCAGTTGCGAACAGCTGGATAAATGGTGGAAGAACCGTGTCCCCACACTTAACCCTAATCCTTGTGGCACTGCACAGAAAGAAATATGAAAAGAAAAAGAAAGAAAGAGGAGACCTATTCTGACTGACACCACTATTTCAGATAAAGAGAAAGTCGAAGTAGAACACTCTCATGCAAGTTTTTCTAATATTAGCATTATGAAAGAAACAAATTTATAACAAGAATTATCATTATTTTATATTTATTTAATTTTTTTATGATGTGGTATTTGTTGTTGAAATATAGATATAGAGGCATTTGTGTCAGAATGGGCATGGCAACAATCAAAGCACGTGAGGTGTGAATCATAATGATGTTTTCATAGGGTATGTACCTTCCGTACTGAGCCCCACAACAAAACGACACTAATTACTGCATGTCAAGAGTTTTATTATTGTGCCCAATCCCATACCGTACCCATTTGCCCATCCTCTCAATTTCAATGGGTTCCACTTTTTATCAAAACGGTTCAGTTTCGCTGGCGTTCTGCTGTTTTGACAGAATCAGCATTTAAGCTGCAACTTCCTTGCGTCACCTCTGTGGGTTAGGTTTTTTTTACCTTCATTTTTTAATATTTTTAAAAAATAATTATTAAATAGTGTTATTTTAATACAATTTATTAAAACTGATCTTCAATCACATTGCACGGTTTTGGGCACAAATATGCTCGGGTTTGGATAGTAGTATCTAATTTTTAGATAAGTTAATTTGAATTAGACTTATTTTTAGACTAAATATAAGTGTTGAACTTCAACTAATTTTTATGTAAGAAGAGTTTAAATAATATTAATATTTTTAACATATACTTACAATATTATCTATTTTGTTTGAAATATTTAAAAAATTTGTCATATAATTAGAAAATATTGTGAAGCTAATATTTATAATTTATAAATTATTAGGTTGAATAATGAGTAACTCAACCTGTTTAAATTTATATATATATATAATTTGTACAAATTGTTAATATAAGTAATCTATCAAAAATTGTAATGTAATTGTTAAATAATTAAAATATATATTATTCAGTAACTATAATATACATAATTCACTCTATTCAAATTTTTTACTGATTTGGTCATCAACTTTTATTTTGTAAATTAATATATAAATTAAATAAGAGACAAAATTTTCTTACATTAGTGTAAGTTTAAAAACTCTTACATTTAATCTGAACATTTCATTTAACTTAAATCTAATAGATTATAATTTATTACTTTACTGATCATTATATTTAAGTTGAATGAAAGGTTCAGATTAAGTGTAAGAGTTTTTAGATTTATATTGGTGTAAAAAAAAATTTCTCCATCAAATAATAAATAAATATATAATAAAAATTTATAATGTTAAAGGGTTTTGGTGTTTAATGATCAATTTGCAATTTTTTACATGTGATATTGTGTGAAGTGTAAGAACTATAATAAGTTTAAATTATACATCACATAAATTATACTCTTCCAAATAAAAAACAAAAATATTAGTAAAATAAAAATAAAAATAAGAATAAAGTATGCTTTTACAATTTGAATTCACATTTATTAAAAGCATAAACCACCAACATGAGAGGAAATTAAGTGTTGAAGTCACATCAATCATACACACTTATATTATATTATAAATGAAAAATATTGAAATTAATAAATGAATTTAGTCTTACCTAAAAGTGAATGAAAAAAGAAATATTCACTTATTCACTAAACCAAAAGAGAAATAGTGATTATGTTCTTATTAATACATTGGGATATAATTTGCGTCAATCTCTAACAACTTTTAGCCTTGCAAGTAAAGAAAATCAATACACATTAGTATGAATAAATTTTTAAAGTACATAAATAAAAATGAAAAGAAAATAGACCACTCACAAAAGATAGTCAATTGAAATTATCAAGTACATAAGTTGAATATTAGACGTCTGCCAATATATCATAAAACATAAATGAATAATAACACAATTGTTACAAGAAAATATAAGGAATTTAAATTACAAACTAAATAAAAAATTAAAGTATAATAAAATAGGTAAGAGAGTGGAAATCTAACCCAAAAAAGATGTGAGCTAAGTGTTCAATAGTAAAAAAAAAAAAGTCTTTGCATGTCAATGACCCCAAAAATACACACATATATAAAATGGTTATTTGCTGTCAAAGATCCTCAAAAAATATATGAACCGCAAAATAAAAAGAAAAAAATTATTTTATTAATAATTAATAATTACATTATAAAATTATTTAAACAACTTAAAGAAATTTGTACAACAACTTACATATTATGATTATGATGCAGCTAGTGGTGCAACTATTGTAACACTTTAATTTTTATTTCAATTAAATAATAATTTCACAAATTAGATAGCCAAATTTTCATAAAAGATTTTGAAATAAGTGAAAGGTTACAAATTAATATCAAATAACTACTACAAGACTAGCTCAATTACAACATTTCAGAATAAAATCTAAGTCTTATAGTAGTTCATCCGTCCCTTCACTGAGTGCAGTGCTAATCGTTTTGATTACCTGAAAAATGAATGTAAGGGTGAGTACTCTACACTACCCAAAAACACACAATCAACGTAGAGTCTCACTTCCAGAATATTTTCAATATATTAAATAAACACAATCACAAGCAGCATTATCACACAGCTCAGGTCAATTTAACATTGATGCACTCACGGCATCGACAACATTTCACATCCATAAGTACAACACATAAACTCATGCACATGCACACTAGCCACACTCACTGTGAGACTGTGATCACAGATTTACATCATGAATGGTCACCGGTTACCCCCGCCTCACAGATACCACGTGGATAGTCACGAATCGCTCAACAAAGGTAATGGTCAGAGGTCTAGTCAGGAAAAGAGTGTGTGGCCCGTGGTGCACCCGTTCCACAGTCAGTGTCACCACCACTCTCCCTTCCCTAAGGTATTTCTACCGTCCTTATCTTTCACACCCCTAGTGTATCGCTAAACCATTCACAACACATTATAACAGTGCTAACACGCTCATTCACACATATTCCATTCACGCATGCAGTAATCATGTTTACATACGGCACACAGCCTACAATTATCATTCATATTACACGGCCCTTAGGCCCATATTTTCAAAATATTCATTCAAATATACGGTACAAGTGCCCATACCCATGTACAACACTGAGCATACATGCCCTCATTTTATCACACAACATTTACATACAATTCACATTCATCAACTTCGGGTCAACACACATAATGTTCACATATCACAGCACATGGCCCACATTACATTTCTCAGCAATTTTCTACCCACTAACTCAGCCACAACACAATATTAAGCAAAATAACAATAATTCATGTACAAAAGAATAGGATAGAGTCTCCCCTTACCTCATATTGAAGACCCACAATTGGATTTGACCACGGACATGTTCCCTACACAGATTTCGGCCTAAAACACATGGAAGAACTCCATGAGAACTCTAAGAAACCGAGAAACAGAGAAATGGGGATGAAAAACGGAAACCTAACCATTAAAACTCACCTCTAAGCGTTTCTCACACGAATTCAACCTTCAATCAAGCTCCCGAATGGCTTTGGAGGCAATTAATCGGTGAAATAGGGCTTTGGGAACGAGAGGATCAAAGGAATTTCGAAGGGAGAGGAAGAAATAACTCTCCCCGGACCCTAACCCCCTTTAAATCTTTTTCTGGTTGCGACACTCTCGCTACAGCGAGATACCTCGCTGCAGCGACACGCCCTCTCGCTACAGCAAAAAAATCAAAGAAAATTGCACTCTAGTTTCTGCAGAATCTCGCTACAGCGAGACTGCACCAAGAAATGCACCCCAAATTGTCGCTCTGTCACTACAATGAGAAGGCGACACTTCTGGTCCTTCCTCCCAGGGCCTTCTCGCTGTAGCGAGAACAGCCTAGTATTACACCCTGTACTTAGGCACTTAGCTCATTTCAGCCTTATCTAGTCATGCATACACACATTCATATACTTAATACACATAAACATCATTATCAAGTAAGTCAACACACACATATATATGCATTTATACAATAATTAATATTACATAAATTTGAGGCGTTACAGCTATAGACGTAGTTGCTACTCCAACTACATTTGGTGGTCTACTGATTTACTTCATTACTTGTTTTCTCCTCATTCTTGGTTGAGTTTAAACAAATAAAAAAAAATATGTGGTACAATTAGTAATATAACAAAAATTAAAAATAAATAAAATATATTTAATAAAAATAACATATCTACAACAATGTTTTCAGATATCTCTAGTTCATCACTCACATTAGGTTTTTTGAACTGAGTTATTGTAGACTTTAACTAATTTTGTATATAAATAAGAGCATATTTGAAATTAGAGAGTTCTTATATACATATGAGGCTCTATTTCAGTTATTTTTTTTACAACAAAGAAGTATGAACACAATTGAGTAAATATTTATTTATTTTTTCTTCAATGCTTTAGTTTTGTATTAAACAATTTTATATGAAGTTTGTAGATTTACTTAATAAAATTGATTATAAATGTCAAAATTAATGTTAAATTTAATCATGTCCAATAAAATAACCTAAATGAACGTGTTACTAGATAAAATTGGATAAAAAAAATCACATTTTTTTGTTGAATTGGGCTTGATTGGTCCAAATCTAACCGAATCTGCCGAACAAGAACCCGTAAACGTTCATCCTTCCCAAGAGTTATTCAACTTATCTATTAGAGGGACTGCGATATAATTTTATTATTCATAAGTACTAAAAAAAAAAATATTATAAGGATTAAATATAACAAAAATTTAACTTGCAAAACATGAGAAAGTTATAACCCTCCCCATGCCACCGCGTAACTTCTCTCGATCTCGTAACGGGTTTGTCTAATTGCTGTCTCGAACCAGGCAATTACTGTATCGATTCTCTCATCCTCACACAGGCATGTGTACCTTACCCTCTCCACACTTCCAAATGCCACAGTTATGTCCAATGAGGAATGACCTTTCAATAACAACAAACACCTGTTAAAGCCAAGCTTAATCATGCGCTAGAAGAGACGTGAACAGTTCTAGCTTCCACTTTATCCATCTTTGTTTTTTTTTTTTTTCTTCATCGGACATGTAAGAGCTTAGTTTCATGGGAGTAAAGGATTATGACAGATTAACTCTCGAGATAAGGAATTTAGGACAAAGTCCTAAACTGTGAAGCACGTTATTTGCTTGATTTTCCTTTTTATAAGAAATGAAATAAAGTTAAGATGCTGCATATTTTTCCTGTTAAAATATCGTTAAAAGTGAGATACATTTTTAAAGGTTTTTTTGTTATTTTTTAATTAAAATTAAAATTTTATCTTTACGAAAGGTGAATATTTAATATTATCATAAATTATTAAAATAAAATTTTAATTAAGAAACTACACCTAAATGTTGTACTTAAAATATATGAAGTTACTGTTATTAGAGATTTTGTGATTCCAAGTAACAATTGGAAATTCAAATTTAGTGATTATATACGCTTCGTGTCTTGAATTTGTTGTTTAAGAATTAAGATGTATTTGGATAATAATTAAATTAAGTGCTTATTCAATAAAATCTTATCTAATAAAGGGTTTATACCAAAAATTTGACTGAAACTTATTAAGTATAAAATAACTAATTTTGATAAGTTATACAAATAAACTTATAATCCATTTTTATAAGTTATTGAAAATGTATCCTAAATTTATGTTTTGAATTTAATACATTGGAAGAATCAGGTTTTTATTGAAGTGTCGTTGTGATTGTAAAGTGGTGTGACAACCGTGTAAATGTTTCTTTACTTACTATTCAATGAGCTGCAGAGTCAAATGCATCTCCAACCTGGCAACCTCTATATAGGAGTGCTTTTTAATTTTACGGTCAACTATTCAGGAGTGTTTTTTTTTTTTTTTTCGGTCAACTATATAGGAGTGCTTATCGTGTGACAATCTTCAAGTCTCAAAAACTGGAGCCAATTTTGGGATAACGTTTAGGTCCCTGAAATCAGTTCAATTCCAAGGTGCAAGGCTCCAAACGCGAATCTTGCTCCAAGTCTCCAAAGACCGAGATAGTCTTGGAATATAAGGCATATACTTCTCCAATATGATAAATTAAGACCTAACTATCGATTAAGTCTCTTGATAACACGGGCAAATATTCTTCCAATGGAAAAAATTAACTCCCTAAAGATCGAGCAAATATTGAGATAACAGGCACACTTATCCTCTAGGTTAGTCTGCAGATCCAGCGAAATATTCCTAAAATCAGACCAATTAATTAAATCTGTAAAAGCTCAGTTCCTTGAATGTTATAAAACGAAATCAATAATTACACACAAAAATCCTCACTTTGGACCGATGGCACGTTGAAATTGCCGCCAAATTCATTCAATCATGAATTGATTTTAACTCTAGAATATATAAAACGTGATTTTCCTCTATTTCCAAATAAGCACTAATAGCAAGTGCAAAGCAAAAGCCTTCCCTTTTTTTGAGTCCATAAAAGGCATTGGGTCGAGCGTGAGCTAAGAATGGATGTTAGGGCTGTGCCTTGTGTTTAGAAGGGTATAGGTTCTTCGATGTAGTGGACTCATACTCACGCATAACAAGTTGGAATGATATAATGAACTGCAAAAGATTTTGATCATAAATTGGAACTCATCTGCCGGAGACGATAATCTTGGGCATAAATTTAAGATAAAAATTGATTAATTATAGATAACAAGAAATTGGTCGAATTCTTTTTCCCACACATTTCTCTTGAGTATGAGTGCCCTCAGGAAGCAATTTAGAATAGCTGAAAAAATGAGATCTAGTTAAGAGGAGAAAATGCTGACAGGAAAATTGTTGCTATTTGCAAGTAAAATCTTGAGGATTGGCATTTGAATTTTGAAATGAAAACTCGGATTATACATGAAACAACATGTGCATATTGAGGGAAGGAAACTGTTGGTCCTCTTGGTTTATATATTAGGAGATATGACTCTTTACATATGAACCAATTGACAAATCTACAGATTTCTGTTTGCTGTGCACCAAAGTAGACGCTAGACAGTGTAGTATAATTATGTACACATTTGCATACAACTGAATATTCACCCTAAACCCTGATTACAGACTATAACACTCGACAACAAAAGCTAAAATTTAAAAGAAAGAAAGAGTGGAGCTTGAGAATGAGATGGCAGTTCCAAAAACCCAGCAAAACCATATAAACTAGGTTCCTATTCAGAATTCAGACGCACGATCCTCTTCAATTCCGCAGTGACACATTTCATCAACAATATCCCTTCTCCTACAGAACCTAAACCAACAAATGTAAACCAGAAATTAGGAAGAGGAACCTAAAATGTAGTTGAGTTGACGAGGTTGTTATTCCTGGCACCACCAACACGGTATCGATTCCGAGCGAACCCGCCGGAATCCAAAATGCCATCGAACTCGAAACCTTCTTCACCATCAGCGTCTCCCACAGCCCTCATCATCTGCAACACCTTTCTGGCCTTCTCCTTGGCTCTCTCCGTTCCTGTCTCCTCAATCTCCTTCAAAACTTCTACAGCCCTCGCCTCTTTTGCCAATCCCTTGAACCTCAAGCTTCTATGACTCAACGCATATAAAGCAGCCACACAATTCTCCCGAGTCGCCTCCGAGTCCAACTCATTACCCCTCAGCAATTCCACCAAACACTCCACTGCATTCGCATCTAACATAGCCGTCCTTCCCTCCATCGATACGGCCAAGTTGCACAGAATCAGCAGCACCCGGCTCGCCAAATTCCCTGCCACAACCATCGAAAGCAGCGCTGGGACCACCCCGAGTTTCACCAGTTTGACTCGATTGCTCTGAACCAGGGTCAGATGATAGAGAGCGAGCGCCGAGTCATGCCGAGTCCGTTCCGACTCTGACCGGAGCGCGTGCATGAGTGGCTGTAACGCGCCGAGTACACCAATCGCCATCTTGTTGTCATCGTCCAATGCTAAACTAAAGAGCGCGCCCGCAGCGTGCTCCTGCGATTCACCGAATCCCCCCTTCAAAACATCGATTAGAGAGGGAACAAACCCTGACCTCACGATCTTCACCTTGTTCTGCTTCTCCAGGGAAAGGTTGACCAGAGACGCCACCGCGTTCACCTGAACGACGCCGTAACGTGAAGCAACCAAAGGACGTAGCGCCAAGAGCAACAGCTGCGTGCACAGCAAAACCCTAGCCTCTTCCCTATTCCTCGTGATGCTTCTCAGAGCGATTACACCTTCTTCTTGCTCGAATACCACGCTGCTCCTCAATTTCTTCAATAACCCCTCTTCTTCCTCCGACGCCGGCGCGCTGGGGCTTTGGATTTCGATCTCGCACGAGGAGGAGGAGGAGGAGAAACAAGTGGGGCGATACGTCAGCGTCAACGGCGTCCCAGGACTCGTCGGAATTATCACCGATTCCTCCGAGGATCCCGAGTTGAAGTGGTTAACTCGGGGCCCCAACTCAGTGGCGGCGTGGGAGAAAATCACCGGCGGGTTATCGGCCACCGCCTTCAGCAGCTCCTTCTCGGAAACCCTAATTCGTTCTTCCTCCGACGCCCCCATTGCTTCTCGAACGAGCCTCTCCACAGAGGCGTAATCCGGTGCGCGCGGGTGTTCGGTACTGGATTTGTCGCACCAGTTGAGGATGGTCGTTTTGATGGCCAAATTGGGGATGACGGTTGAGAAATCGGGTCGGGTCCCGTCGTCTAATTTGGGGGAGAACTTTAAATCAGAACAGACTTGAACGGCGATGCGTTCGAAGGTTTGACCCGAAGCAACAACGACCGGGTCAGACATTAAGGACCCGGAAATCGGGCACGTGAACTCCTTGGGAGGGTGCTTAGGTTCCAGCTTTGAACGAGAGGAAGAAGAAGAACGATGGAAGGATATTTTCCACCTGTGCTTGCCATTGCCACCCATGTTTTTATGAATCACGCATGCGCGGGCTAATTGTTGAGCCTATTAAGGGGTGGATTTGTTTATTGTTGCTGCTTCGGAATATTATAATGAGTTTGTGATTGTGAGGTTGCACTCGCACATGTTGGGATGGACTCGATCTGAGGATCTCTTATCTAATGAAGCGATTGCGAAGCGAGTGAGGGACCGAGTCTTCTAAACAGCGTCATCCGTGAGCGGTCTAGAAACATTGTGTAGCAGTCACCGTGAGAATTTTGAAGCTGGGGCCAGGGGAGTGAGTAACTGCATACTCTTACTCCCTACAGGGCTTTTGTTTCCTTTCTTTCTTCCCATTTTGTCCTCCATTTTTTACCCTTTTGTTTTATTTTGTCCAATTTTGTTCCTTGCTCTATCAGGGAGGGTATTTTGAGGAATTCGATAACCTTTCCTTTTGTCCCTTTGTTGAAAGTTAATTATATTGCTTAGCATAACTCTGAAAAGTCCTTGCCTAATCAAGTGCTAACGAGGGAATTAATTAATAGGTTATTTACTAACGTGATTTCATTCCCCCTTTTTTAATTGGAGAATTTTTCTTTGCTTTTATAGATTTGTGGGGGCGAGGAACCTGTCCATCTGTGTTTGACATTAACTTGAGACCTTGACTGGTCAACTCTTGGATGTGCTAATGAAAGATTCTCCGCGGTATAGGAAAAATATTTGTTACTATCATGTTCAATAATCAAAGTATATGTATCTCCATTTATTATGGCTTGATAGGAAAACAACGAGAAAAATAATCCAAGTGCATTATTGCTATCTGCAACTTACGGGGTAGAGATGAATGTATAAAAGTAAAGTTTCTTTGGCTGTGCAAAAAATATTATACAATAAGATATGGCAAATGAGACAAATGTTTTTGGTGAAGACATATTATCGACACAATTAATCCCTTGTCGTGTCACGTACTCAATAATCATTTTATAAGGTCCCATGTCTCAATGTTTGATGAATGATGAACGACTGTGTTAAGTTTTATCCCTTCAAAATTAACTCAACCAGAATATTTCGTTCTTCCTGTATTATTACTTAACGATAGACTAATAGTAAAATTTAATTGAATCGTTGTAACATTATAAAATATTATACTTTATTTAATCATAAATATTATATAACAAATAATATTAAATTTTTATAATAATTAATTTAAAAATAAAATTTAATATATGCTATAATTAATTTATAATTTTTTTGACATTAACAGTATATCAAATTAAATTCTTAACAATATTTTAGGAGGAAAAGAATTAGTATTACCATATGCTTGTCGAAAAAAAAAAACACAAATATTACCGTAGAAATACTGAAACTTCTAGAGAAAAATTTCTTATTCTACTGTATTTGCTCCCTTCCGCCGATTTTATGTATTAAATTGAGAGAAAAAATAAAATAAAATCATATGCGCATAGAACTTTCTTATCATTTTATTATTTCCAATACATTTGATCTTATGCGTTCTTGCTTCTTTTACAATCTTTTTCTTTGCCAAAAATAAATTTAACCAAAGGATAATTCATTACTCAAGATTTTAACATTTTAATATACAATAAGTATACATTATTGTAAATATATGCATTATTCAGACATTAAAATTTTATGTAAAAATATTTTAATATTTATATTATATAAATATTTGCGTTACATAAGAACCGTAAGTTTACATAAAATCAAATTTAAATCCAAATTATAAGAAGAAATATTTATATCTAATGAGAATAATATTATTTTAATGTTGAAACATAGTAGTTTGTAAATTATATTATAAATACTTATATCATGAAATGAAATTAATTTCATATATAAATATATTCAAATCAAAATAAGAGGAAAAAAAAAAGTAAAAGTGGTATTACAAAGTGAAAAAAAATTATATTAATATCGACGCTAATCTCCAAGAACCGGTTTCTTGTTTCGAGAAAGTTTCTTGTTTCCTTTTCTTGGAGTTTCTCCACTCAACCCTAACTTTTCCATGCTTGAGAGCTTTACGTTGTTGTCCTCTTGGCAGTTAGCTTAATGAAAAATATTAGGATCTTCAAGGAAGCTCCCTAAGGTAGTAGATTTGGACGCAAAAGGAAGCGGAAGCGTAATGGATCTTGCTAACGAAGAGAAGCAATCTTCAGAAGAACTAGATTTGATGGCTAGAAGCACAAAGAAAGTCAAAACAAGTTTAGACAATACTATGAACATGGTAAATCCTCTAGCACAAAGAAAGGATAGTGACAATAACTCCTTTAATTAGATGTCTTCTTTTCCTAAAACATCTCTTTGCATGTCGTATAAGGTGAAAGTTATGGTTAAGAATGATATGGATCTGACTTTTAATGACAAAGAAATAATAAAATCAGTTTTACAAGAGTTGAATCTCCCTCAAGAACTAAATGAACCAATCATAGAGGAGTGTGAGGTATATAATCTTTGCCCTGAAATTAAAGTCCCTCTTGAAGATTATGAACTGTGGTGTAACCTATGGAAATTTACATTGATTGTGAAACTATTAGGGAAGAATATCAATTTCAACTTTCTTAATCAAAAGCTCACTAATATTTAGGACAAGAATGGTAACCTAAAAATTATGAACCTTAATAATAACTTTTTTTTGGTTAAATTTAAAAGTCTTAAAGACTACAAACATGCCCTCTTTGAGTTCAAGGGCCCTTGGTTAATATTAGATCTCCACCTCTTAGTCCAGAGGTGGAGGCTTTTATTCACGCATCAAGATTTTTGCCTTAAGAAGATAGCTGTGTGGGTCTGTGTCCCTAATTTGCCCCTTGAACTCTATAACAAAAAATTTCTCTAGTAGGTTGGTGCTTGCTTAGGAACTATGCTAAAAATAGATCCTCATAACTCTTTGATTTATAGAGGTAAATTTGCTAGGCTTTGTATTGAAATAGATATTAATAAAAAGCTAGTTCCATATTTCAAGGTCCTAGGTCAGGAGTTCAAAGTAAAGTATGAGTGGCTTCACTTGATTTGTTTTTATTGTGGGAAATATGGTCACAGGGTATATAGTCTTGTAAGGAAAATATGTAGCCTTCATAAGAAACTATTGATTATAGCTCTGTCCCTAATAGCCCTAATACTGTGAGAGTTGCTGATCCCAGTAACATAGGGACATAATTATGAGAAAAAATTTAGGGATGAGCAGGGAAGATTTGGCTCTTGGATGTTAGTGAAAAAGCCTCATAAGAAAAAATTATGCTAGTTTAAACATAATAGTAACCCTTCCAATACTAGCAAAAGCAAGGAAGTCCAAACAAGGTCTAGGTTTGACATTTTGGGCATCTCTAATGATATCCCTAGGAACTCACTAGTGGTGGGAATTATGCAGAACTCGAGTGAGGTTGGTCCCCTTAAATCTAAACAATTTAGCAAGAGTATACCTAATCATTATGCTCAACCTAATGCAAAAAGAAATTACCCAAATCCATATTGAAAAGTAAGATAGAGACTAGTGGGGGTGAGCCTAGTGCTGACCCTGTAAGTAGAAACTAGGTTAATCTTGATACTTCCAATACTAATCATGCTAACACTAGCCAATAGGATATTTTACAATTAATGAGAATTATAAGAAAAGGTTTAGGGAATAGTACCTCTATTCAAGAATTATTGGGAGGTATCTTTACAAAGTCTTGGGCCCCATAATTAGGAGAACCTCCTGATAATCTCCCTGAGCTAGATACTTACCTAATTTCTAGGTCTGTTAGTGACCCTTTAGGCTCAAGCAACCCCATGTCTCTTGAGATGTCCCTATTCCTAATAGTTCAATCTCCATCATTTGATACTTCTTAGAAAAATACTCAATTTTTTTTTCTTTATAACGTATATAAGAGTCAATTATGTCTAAAACATCAACTAACTCTTTTACACAAAGCACTAATATCATACAATGACATAATATTATAGTGCTCAATAGGTTACAAACCTTCTAAGTTTCTTCTTGCTGGTCAATTAATTACATCATAAAAGAAACGAAGGTCTACATAGTGACCCTTAAAAATAATTCACTAAACATATAACTAGTTGCAATAATCTTAAGCTACTCTCTAATTAGTTCATCCCCTACTCCTTTGGTCCATCTAGAGGAGAGTCATTATGTATCCATTACATCGTCAAAAGACACAAAACAAAGAAGAAGGGCGAGTATAAACATTCATAAACAATAATACAAGGCAATACATATGCTTAAATGAACAAAACATCATTCAGACATCAACGATATCAAGCATCAACAATATTTATGCTTAAATGAACGAAACAACATTCAAGCATTCCTATACTTGTGCTTAAATGAACAAAACAACATTTAAGCATCAAGTAACAACCATTCAATGTCTTTTGTTAGTGAATTCTCCATGGAGTAATTAATTAATTATCTAACATTTTATTTTCAGGTTGAGATTAGGAGTTTCATGTTTGTAATTTGGCTAGTGTTATAGGTACATTTTCTTCCTTTATTGGAGACAGAACATAAAGGCTCAATTCTTATTTTATGATCACTACTAGCAGCCCACACTCAAACCAATCTTGATATGCTTTAGTGTCTGTCGGGATAGGCTAGCAAAGTTCTCACTGCCTACGACACAAGTTGGCTAGACTTGGTCCCTTGTAAGTCTTGGGCACTCTCCTATCCCCTATGATAAGACCAATACTATTTACTCCTTACCTATGGCTTATTCAACCTTTTTCAAAATCACAAACACAATTAATATCATAGCCATTAATTATTCAACAGGTACATTATAACATCTCTATTTCAAGAGAACAATCAATTATATGGACATGGGTAATAATCAAATTTTTTTTCAGATTTCATGAACTAACTTATAAAATTCATAACTAATTCGATACAAGTCCAAACATCATGAAATCACTAAGGTTTTCTTCTTTTAAATGTCTAATATAATATAAAATTATAGTCAAAATACAAAAGCTTCCAAAGAATCAATCAAGGCTCAATTTACCTCTGTTGTTTTGAGATCATTTCACTAAACAACTAGCATATTGTAAATTTTGTAATAAATTCAATTATCATCCAAAACACATGAGACAAGTGAGATTATTCTTATTAACATGTATATTTACATATAAAAATACTTTCAAAATCAAACTATTCCCAGACATTAATTCGTGCTTTAACTTCTCAATACATGTCACATAATAGCACAATTTAACAACAACATATTGGAAAAATCATAAGTTATTCAATTCATCATTAAAACTCTTGAAATCAATGGTATTAT